AGGGTAAAATGAGCATCTGACCGTGCAGCGTCTCTGGTTCTCTCACACACAGACAGACACACGCGAGCGCGCCCGATCAGAGATTGTCGGTGAAAGGCACAAGCTTTGTACTGTACAGTTCAGTTCAGTACATTTCGATTTGTTCAAGGAAATCGCATCCCAATTGTTTGAAGTCGGTTTCCACTTTCTGTTCTCCGTCTTTTAGCTTGTTTGCCTCAACCACGTACGTGTACACGGGGATACACAGGCACATCTAACCAGCCACCCACACATACACACGCAAACACCGACGCCGTCATATAAAACACGCAAAAGCACACATATTGTGAGGAGAAGGTTTGAGCTACCAGGATTGCTGCTGCTGCTTTCAGTTCTTGTGTTTTCTGTTACTCCCTTTGGAACTGCAATTTGTGTAACCGTTCAAACGACCAAACACTCCAATACACACACACACAAACACAAACAAGCAGAGACCGAGTGTGCTCGTTGTCAATCTCACTCCATTCAAGTTGGTGGGGAAAGAAGTGCGTGAATGGGACCGAATTCCACACTGACCTAACATTCGACACAACTGAAGCTGGCCCATTACAACAGCCAGCAACTTTCGACATTGTACTTTAGATTCCATCCCATCCTATTCACACATTTAAACTTTCGATTGGACCTTTTCTAAAACACAACTTGTCTCCAATTATCCCGTCTTCGTACCTGCTTCCCTCCGTTCACCACTCACTCACTCACTCACACATCTATTCCCGATCGGTAACCCGGACTGGATTTAACATCACGTGATCAGAAACCATGTCTTCCGGTAAGTTCTCGTATGGTTATTTCTGTTTAAAGTCAGTAATGAGGAGCTCAGTGCTTTTGTGATAGGCTTGTGGCTTTTATTTTCAAGATTCTAGCTCATGGTAGAGACATGAAAATACACATGAAACGGTAATTCCGAGGCTAGATCTCACCTAATCAAGTTTGTCGCGTCAAAACCCGACTAAGTTCTACATGTGAAATTCATCTGAGTCGCTTAAATTTCCGGTCAATTCTCGATAAAAGCCTGAGTAACCATCTGCATGAGAATGTACACGAGAACCGATGACAGATGCCTTTGACTTTACAACAGGGAACCGGGGTCAGACTTCAGCTGCAATAAGTCAAAGGAAGTTTAGATCAGTGATAAGGTTCTGAGGAAGCTTGACATGTTACGCAGGACGAGGAACCAGATCAAGCACTGCGTTCTGAGGGTTTGAAAACCCTCAGACTTATCGGGTAATGCAGGACAAAACATCACACAGATGACTGTATGTGTGTTACATGATGCCTACTGGCAGTACAGAGAGAAATAATAAGACAGCAAGTAGTCTACCTTCGACCGCGCCTGAAAATGATAGACAAATGTCCTATTCCATTTCGCCTGTTCGCCAAGCTTAACAATTTGTTTGCCAACATTTCATCACCAACCGCCGAGGTGACGACATCAGTGCTTGCGAATTAGCAGTGTTCTGTTTGGACATGTATATATGTTGTGCTCCATCGACTATCTGTGTCCTTTGTTCTCCCGCTGTTTGACTCGGTTCGCCGTTGATCCGGTGCTAAGGGTCGAGGAGGGGTGGAGGTTGTTCTTCCGTCTTGATTGCGGTGTTGTTGTCCGTTCTTAGGTCAGGGCTTGACCTTTTTTATTAAGTAATTTGATCCTTGCTTGGTCTTGTCTGGTAGAAGAAGAAAACCTAGAAGAGACATTCATCATGGTATATTGACATCACGTCGGTAACTGTTAAAGGAACAAAAAAGCGATAGAGACTGAATGATTAAGGGTCGGATGGAAAAGCACAACTCAGTCACAAGCTTAAAAAAGGAACGTTTTACGGACATGATGTACTGTTAAGAAGAAACTGACAATTTAGAAAAGTTATAGTGAATGTAACCCAGCCTCAGTTAGGTCGAAATCCACTATCCGGTGAATTTATCATAGCAACACGATGTTGAAATGTGCAAATGAGGATAATTTGTATCTTTATTCTTTTTACAAGAACTATGGGAAACTAAGCTGCGTATGTACGCCCTGAATGTCTGAAGTGAGCGAACAGATCTAGTCATTGCACGACACATGAAAACAAGCACGTCGTGCTCGGGAAAGACGCAACTTTTACGCTTCTCCTAACCCCAATTTGACACGTATCATTTCGCTATCGAATCGAGGCGATATCACAATAGGCATCCATCTCCAGTTGTTGTTGTTAATTTTCTGTGAAATATGACAACGCAATGTTTCATCTTCGTTCCTCTCTTCACGTCTACATATCTGCATTTATTCTGCATTTCAGGCAGTAGTGAACAGTAGAATCGGAGTAGACTGTGTAGCTTAAGTCAATTGAGAAAAAAAACAGATTCACTAGACATCTTCCTGCCAATCCCAATTAGTCCTGAGAACTAAGGAGAAATTGGTGTGTCTTCCGGTTTTCTACCTTCGAATAAGGTTTTACAAAGTTGTTCGAACTACTTCCTGTGATCAAGCTAGCAACACGATCATCGGAATAGAAGCCATATTGAAAATGGATTTAGGCTGATATTTCCGGTGCATAGTCTCGCTCGCGCCCGCATTTGACTCCCAAGACAGACTGAATGAGTGAACAAGCTCGGAGCCGCCGACTTCACTCGGCCACGTGATCTGCTTCTTCATGTCGACAATTGCGCTCACTTGTTAAGAAGGACTGATGTAATGGCCGTGTCAATTTGAGCTGACTCAGTCAGTCAGGGATCACTCTCGATTACATCACCACAGTTATAAACAAACGTTTTTGTTCACCTTCCTATTCACGGAGTACACAAACAGATGTACGGGTCAGCAACTTTCAGACAAAGCAGGTCATGCATAGGCTTCTTGGGGATCGGGAGAGGGACAAATGAATAAATCGGTGGCGGTGGTTGTGAGATTGGAACACAGAATCGCGAGGCCAGTCTGACCACTTGACTACCATCAACCAGTTGGCACTTGTCTTCCTTTTAGACCGCTTGAATACACACGGGGTATATGCATTCAGAGATACACTCGCACACACAACAGTGATTTGGACTTTCGGAAAATGTGATTATTTGACTCGACGGTAGCTGTATTCGGATTGTATAACTACCCGCTAATCGAGATCAATCTACCGGCTGCGTTAACTACCGGTCATCGGACGACCTGATGTATTTGTTAAGCTAAGTGAGCTGACAAGTACAAATCTTGGAAGAACAGATCCCCTATTTGTGAATAATCTTTACACGAGCAATCGTGTTATAACACCAACACATGCGGATTAGAATCTGACTTATCCCGGGCACTCCAACTTCTCACTTGCGCCTCTGTTCAACTTCTCTTTACCTCTATTCATAAACATAGTTTTGCACATAGTTGAAGTGAAGGTACTGAAATCAATGTTCGACCGAACTCCTAATTATCTCGTTCTGTTCATGCAAATACATTATTGAAGAGTAGTCTATTTCAGACAAACACTTGTTACGATTAAAAAAACAACATTGGCGTAGTTCATCTCCTAAGTCCCAATTCACGTCTCAAGACTACTTCATTTCTGGAAGCACACACCGCAAACTCATACATTCGGCTCTCTAGTTCAACTAAATCTCTCTCATCCGGTCTTAAGCACAACCAACTAAGCATTCCACCCACCCCCAACCGAAATGGATTAACATCACGCCGTACACGGAAGAATACTCTGACGAAATGATATTGTTTTTTTTACAACCATCTGGTGGAAATGGCCAAGATCGGTGAACCGAAAAATGAAACTTTCTCTGAATACCTCTTTTTTTGTACACAATCCGATTAACGTGTGCACTGCAACTGCACCGATTTCAACCACACACCACCCGCCTCGCCGACAGTTCCTTGTCTATCCCACCTACCCGTATCATGTTTCCGAGCTGTATTTATCAAACTATGTGACCGTGTGAATTTTTCCTGTCACGACTCCTCCACCCCACCCCACCCCCCAAAAAAACAAAAACCTTCACTATTCAAGGTCATTTGTTGAACTCCTGTGTTCGGTTTGTCCTGATGTGTTCGGTATGAGAGATTTCCGTTCCGGGTGTCGCATTCCCTGCGAATGTCGCCGAAGCAGAATGAAACAGTGGGAACCAGCCAGTGTGTATGCCACTTGCTATCGAGGAAACTAAGGGAACCGTGAGAGAGAAAAACCGCAGTGCACACAAACTGGTGCCGGTTCGTAAATTGGAAGTGAGGTGTTCGATTAAATGCGTTCTCGATCGGTATCCTTGTGATCTCTCTATCACACACACACACACATTCCACTATGAATCCCCAAACTTATCGATATTGCATGCCTTTTGTTTTATTTTTCAGGAGCGCAAACAATCGAAACTCGACTGTCCGAGTACGAGGTGAGTTCGTATGCATGAACGCAGTGAAGTACGATCGATCGATTGATGGGAAATTCGAAAGATTCAGAGCGGGGTCTGCTAGCCTCGGGAACCGAAAGGCAAACTGTGTGATAAAGGCAACCCCAGCGAAAAAAGCGGGATGCTTTTAGCCTAATGATATTAATCATCATCATCATCACCATCACTTTTATCACCATCCGAGTCGTCATAATCATTAGTGCGAAAAATGTGACTGTTTCATTTATAAATAACCAAGATTACCTGAAAAACGAACTGACTTCTCTATGAGAATTAGTTCATGATAGCCTCATATATAAGATTTTCCATAGTTCTTATACGTTTCGTGTATATTCCGGGCAAAAAAGTCAGATCTTAACATAACCCCCAACTGCTAGTGCGTGCGTTCTACTCATCACAACAATGACCAGTCGCCAACTAAATTGGCTATCTGTATATGTGCTATCCGTTTTCCGAGTATGGACAGATGTTTGAAAACCACGGTAATTTGATGATGAAAGAAAAAGCATATGGGTGCAAAGCTTTCAGCCAAAATATCTGCTGCCGCTACACATCCTCACAGTTCTTCCACATTCTTGACGTGTTCTTCACGAGATATACATCCTTTTTGAGCGCCTGAAATTCAGTTAACAAAAACAAATGTATTATGAGGTGTTGCATTCCCAAAAGGTGTATAGGTGGGGCTTGTGGGGTGATTTGGGGGCGGGGGGGGGGGGGGGGNGGAGAGGGGCCGTGACGCGACGCATAGCCGATGTGAGTGAGGGAGAAATGGAGACAAATCGAGGGTGTAAACATCAGGTTAATTTACATGAACACCGAGAGTTGGACTAGCGCTCCAGTCCAATGACAGTTTGACAACAGGCGTCAATCGTTAGTCTACCGGCGAAAAACTTTGCCCCCAAAAACGTTCGCACACTTCATGATGATAATGAGGTTGGGTATCATCAACCGTTGATAGCAAGAGTAGCCGTGGTAGCAATATGACAAAGCGCTCCTCTGAATGCGTGTGCTTGTGATAGTGAGTGATTCATCCCCCCACCACCACACACACTTGCCGCCAATGAATGATTGAATAACACATTGAATTGGGACCCAGAACGGCAGAATACATTTTAACTTATTCGCTCATTTCACTGCAATAACAAATTTGCGATCGGGCACACACGCACACACACACGCTCGTGCAAATCCACCCAGATGCATACGATGGAAGAGGCCCCCATCCACACAAATTTGTGTAGCTTGTCGGCTTTTGTGACATGAGCAGTTGACGCACAAACTGTAAACTTGTAGGTTCGCGGGAATACAGCGATCTTCATGCCGCATAGTCACCAACAATACTGTTACGTGGATAGCGTCATTGCTTGCGGAATGTGGCGCAGTCGAATGGGTGGATGGCTCGATGCCGGCGGTTGCTCCAGTCGAACGTCTTGACTCGGTTGACCCTAACCAAGTGAGAGCGTGCGCTCGCGCCAGTGAAACCGGAGTGTAGGTAGACAGGTGAACGGTGACTGGAATTAGGCTGCATTCCTCTGTCAACCTGGGGGATCGACGCCCGGTGGTCCAGTGGGTAGCATGCTTGCGTTCTGCCTGTGGGGTCCCTGGTTCGATCCCCAGTTAGGTCGATGGATTCGCACTGCTGGTGAGACTCAAATAGGTCAAAACAGCCGTTCAGTGCTTCTTAGCTTTTCAGTTCACGCTACATACACGACGAGTTCACCTTTGAAAATGAAAGAGTAAACTGACGGTTTCCAGCCATTTCACCGGTTGATCGAGTATCTAGGGGAAAATTATTCATGAATCAAGCAGGCTCTCGACTACCACAAAGGTTTTATCATCCTTGTATGGGACATTTATACAAGATTAGTTTTGTATTCATTTTTCCCGTTTCTAACAATGGATAGAATGTCAAAGAGAACGCGTTCGTTCTCCCGATTAGGACGGAATAGTAGCTTTTACTCTGTTTGAATGGTTTGCAGATTTTTTCCATCTGTTCAAAGAATAAGCCAAATCACATGCTCCATACAAAAGTCACATCGTATTGATAAAAACAGGCTAAAACAGGATTTTATAATTTCAAACGTATAAATTAAACATTTTCTAAATATTAACTCTGTAAGTAGAAACCAAAATATTCAGAAATTTATAGACATCGTACCCCTATAGTATATTATTTGGCATAGAAGTGAATTTACATCGACGCGTATATCTATTGAAGTCAGAGAAAATTCAGGTTCTTGTTCCGAGGAAAACATTCTGTCATTTTTATTCCAAATGAATAGACATGTGCGGCGATATATATATATATATATCATATACAAGAGGTCACACTGTGTGCTAAACAAATTAGGGTACAATTCTATTTTAAAAAGTAAAACGTTCCATGATCAACATGTGGACTGATTACTGCTAGGCCAAAGCAGGTGAATTTTCTCGAGGGGTCCACAATCGGCTAGGAAAAACCTTGGCCGGTTTGTGAAAACCGTAATCCATTGGGGGCCGGTATCCAGCTCATCGGATCATACGCCTTTCGGATGGGGTGAAACCTCCAAGGTGCTCAACACACCTCGATGCCCAAATGAACCGGTGACCATAGACACAACCCGAAAGGTGTGTGTGTGATTTGTACATCTCTTTTTCGTTGATTTGGAATCAGGATTTTTGGTCAACTCCCCTGGGTGAACTACCAGTGATCCGCCAAACCGGTTATAGTCTCAGATGTTGGCTACTCGTCCCCTCACTTTCGTGGGAAACACCTCCACGAAGGGAATGCAGTTAGTAGGGCTTCTTCTGCAGAGGCAGGCTGTTTGAGACGCTTATTCGTATGGGAGGATTGTGCAAGATGCAATGAAGGGATACTTACTTACTTTACGGCGGGTGCCTCCAGGGAGAGGATAAGCCGGATTCATGCATATCAAGTGAATATCCAGCGTCACCCGGCTTTGGGTCGAGGTGACATCTCTAACCTTTGCACATCCAAGTGCTAAGTGCAACGCAGCATGAACGTAGCGCATGGTGGCCAGTGGCCCTCTGGGGGAGAGGTCACATTGTCATTGACAGTTTCTAGCTGAACAGGGGTCCATGCATCCCTGATAAGTACGGAGTCATTGCCGTGATCGTAAAAGTGGCTTCGTCCGCCCAACA